CCAAGTCTCTCCAGGGGTCCCTGTAACCGGGCCTCCCATTGCTGCTGTCTCCATCGCCACACTCTCTCATGGGTCCCTGTACGGCCTCCCATTGCTGCTGTCTCCATCGCCACACTCTGCCATGTGCCACTTTCAGGTCTCTTCACACTGCTGGTGTGTTTAATTTTTTGACATAGGGTGCTGGCAGATTACTGGCCTCCCATAGCTGCTGCCAGGCCCCTAATCTGCCATGGGCCCCTATATACCGCCTCCTCATGCTGCTGCCAAGGTCCAGAGTCTCTCATGGGTCCCTGTACGGCCTCCCATTGCTGCTGTCTCCATCGCCACACTCTGCCATGTGCCACTTTCAGGTCTCTTCACACTGCTGGTGTGTTGAATTTTTTGACATAGGGTGCTGGCAGATTACGGGCCTCCCATTGCTGCTGCCAGGCCCCTAATCTGCCATGGGCCCCTATATACCGCCTCCTCATGCTGCTGCCAAGTCCAGAGTCTCTCATGGGTCCCTGTACGGCCTCCCATTGCTGCTGTCTCCATCGCCACACTCTGCCATGTGCCACTTTCAGGTCTCCTCACACTGCTGGTGTGTTGAATTTTTTGACATAGGGTGCTGGCAGATTACGGGCCTCCCATAGCTGCTGCCAGGCCCCTAATCTGCCATGGGCCCCTATATACCGCCTCCTCATGCTGCTGCCAAGTCCAGAGTCTCTCATGGGTCCCTGTACGGCCTCCCATTGCTGCTGTCTCCATCGCCACACTCTGCCATGTGCCACATTTCAGGTCTCTTCACACTGCTGGTGTGTTGAATTTTTTGACATAGGGTGCTGGCAGATTACGGGCCTCCCATAGCTGCTGCCAGGCCCCTAATCTGCCATGGGCCCCTATATACCGCCTCCTTCATGCTGCTGCCAGGTCCAGAGTGTCTCATGGGTCCCTGTACGGCCTCCCATTGCTGCTGCCAGGAGGCAGCAGGGTCGCAGCAGTGTCAGTGGAGGCAAACGGCCACGGAGTAGAGCACCAGCTCCACTGCAGCCTACCACCACGGCCAGTAGTGGTGCCGGTGTGCACGGAGGAAGTAGCAGTCAGCCAGTGAGGAGTAGCGGAGGCAAAGTTTCCTACTCTGCGGTGTGGCAATTTTTCGTCAAGCCGCCCGAGGAAGTAAACGTAGCCTAATGTCGACTATGTGGCCAGAAAGTCAAGCGTGGCCAGGGGGCCCATGTTGGGACTACAGCGTTGCGTCAGCATATGCAGCGTCGCCATTCGGTGGCCTGGGAAAAACGTGATAAAGATACGGCGGTTCTGCCTGCCCCAGCCCAGGGTTCCATTTTGTCATAGGGTGCTGGCAGATTACGGGCCTCCCATAGGTGCCGCCAGGCCCCAAATCGGCCATGGGCCCCCGTACCGCCTGGTCACGCTGCTGCTGGGCCCACAGTGTGACCTGGGTCCCTGTACGGCCTCCCATTGCTTCCACTCTGCCATGTGCCACTTTGAAATCTCCTCACACTCCTGCGGTTTTCCATTTTGTCATAGGTTGCTGGCAGATTACAGGCCTTCCATAGGTGCCGCCAGGCCCCATATCGGCCATGGGCCCCCGTACCGCCTGGTCACGCTGCTGCTGGTCCCACAGTGTGACCTGGGTCCCTGTACGGCCTCCCATTGCTTCCACTCTGCCATGTGCCACTTTGAGGTCTCCTCACACTCCTGCGGTTTTCCATTTTGTCATAGGTTGCTGGCAGATTAGCGGCCTTCCATAGGTGCCGCCAGGCCCCATATCGGCCATGGGCCCCCGTACCTCCTGGTCACGCTGCTGCTGGTCCCACAGTGTGACCTGGGTCCCTGTACGGCCTCCCATTGCTTCCACTCTGCCATGTGCCACTTTGAGGTCTCCTCACACTCCTGCGGTTTTCCATTTTGTCATAGGTTGCTGGCAGATTAGCGGCCTTCCATAGGTGCCGCCAGGCCCCATATCGGCCATGGGCCCCCGTACCTCCTGGTCACGCTGCTGCTGGCCCACAGTGTGACCTGGGTCCCTGTACGGCCTCCCATTGCTTCCACTCTGCCATGTGCCACTTTGAGGTCTCCTCACACTCCTGTGTTTTCCATTTTGTCATAGGTTGCTGGCAGATTACAGGCCTTCCATAGGTGCCGCCAGGCCCCATATCGGCCATGGGCCCCCGTACCGCCTGGTCACGCTGCTGCTGAGCCCACAGTGTGACCTGGGTCCCTGTACGGCCTCCCATTGCTTCCACTCTGCCATGTGCCACTTTGAGGTCTCCTCACACTCCTGTGCTTTTCCATTTTGTCATAGGTTGCTGGCAGATTACAGGCCTTCCATAGGTTCCGCCAGGCCCCATATCGGCCATGGGCCCCCGTACCTCCTGGTCACGCTGCTGCTGGGCCCACAGTGTGACCTGGGTCCCTGTACGGCCTCCCATTGCTTCCACTCTGCCATGTGCCACTTTGAGGTCTCCTCACACTGCTGGTGTGTTCAATTTTTTGACATAGGGTGCTGGCAGATTACGGGCCTCCCATTGCTGCTGCCAGGCACGTAATCTGCCATGGGCCCCCGTACCGACTCCTCATGCTGTGACGTTGCAACAAGGTGTAATTCAACCCTACATATGTTAGACCGCCTTTACGAACAGCGAAAGGCCATCACAGATTTCCTGATGTTAAAAGCGGATAAAGGTACTCCCTGTGTAACTTAGATGTCAGCCATTGTCAGCTCATGCGTGACACCTGCGCTTGCTCAGGCCCTTTGAGGAGGCCACGCTATTCGTGAGTCGGCAGGACTATGGGATGAACGAGGTCAAATCGGCCATGGGCCCCCGTACCGCCTGGTCACGCTGATGCTGGTCCCACAGTGTGACCTGGGTCCCTGTACCGCCTCCCATTGCTCCCACTCTGCCATGTGCCACTTTGAGGTCTCCTCACACTCCTGCGGTTTTCCATTTTGTCATAGGTTGCTGGCAGATTACAGGCCTTCCATAGGTGCCACCAGGCCCCAAATCGGCCATGGGCCCCCGTACCGCCTGGTCACGCTGCTGCTGGGCCCACAGTGTGACCTGGGTCCCTGTACCGCCTCCCATTGCTCCCACTCTGCCATGTGCCACTTTCAGGTCTCCTCACACTCCTGCTGGTTTCCATTTTGTCATAGGTTGCTGTATGGCCTCCCATTGCTGCTGGCTCCACCGCCACACTGTGGCTCCAAACACTGGTTTTGGCCCCGTGACTGGCCAAATGAGTGAAGTGTGCGGTGATTCTAAGATCGACGGCACTCATCTGCATGTCATACTGACTGACAGTATTATTTCTCTTCCCCAGCAGACTCCAAGGGCATTTAAATTAAAGGTACAGTGTTCTGCACTAATATTAAGTCTCTCTGAAGCCTAGAAACACCCTTTTTTAAGTTAAATTCACAGCGAATTTATTCGACTCGAATCGAATATTGTCCACGAATTCGCCGAATCAGTCGAATCAAATTTTTCATTTCTTCGCTCATAAACAATGATTTTTCAATTGAATTACCCCCCCCCCCCCCCCCCCCCCCCCCGCAAAAAAAAGAAAAAAGAGGGAAGAAAGTACTTGGAATGCAACTGGAAATACAGAAATAAAACATGTTAAAAAAGTGCATGCAGAAACACATCTCGAACGGATCTGGAGGATGTTTTTGTGGTGTGAACTGGCCCTCAATGCAGAAACAGTTCAGTCCCTCAGATAATAAAACATGACTTATACAATATACAAAATATTAAAAAATAAATTCACTCCCCCCTTCCCCTCCATTCCTTTCTACCCTCTTTTCCACCCTTTTTTTTTTTCTCTTCTTCTTTCTTTTTTTTTTTTCTCTCTCTCTCTTTGAATTTTCATACTCAATAAAACATTATGAAATAAATAAATAGATAAATAAATTATATCATGTATTAGTAAGCCCCCTTGTTCCCCCCAATTAGCGGATCACACCCCTGGATTATCTTACCTGCTATAGGAGTGCAGAGATGCAGCGATGCTATACTGTCAGTGCGCAACTTTCAGCTGCTTAGGAAGAAAAATGATCTCCTTCCCTCCGTTCGCATTATATAGACAATGGCAAATTCTTCACCAACTTTCACTTTCACTTTTTCTAGTTAACCCTTTTGTAGCCTCAGAATGGTGTTTTCAGAGAAGTCCCGTGTTTTATGTGCAATAACGTGCTGAAGATCATACAGTCTAGGCTAAAGTTCAGGCAAACAGCTAAATACACAAATGAAATGCACATAACTGAGCAAATGAACGATGAGCGATTAATGATATGCACAATATTTGTGGAGCGCCACCACACCACCCTTAAGGGCCGCTGGATTTTTAATTGGGTCCCCCTAAGCTCTGCACAGCCAGGCAGCTCGCATTTCCAACAATTTCTCCTAGAGTCAGCAAAACATTCCTTGAGCTTGTTTTGTTGTTGATTTTTTTAAGGATTAACAACTTGGATGGGGTCTAGTGGGTGACGAACGCGGTGTCCAACCCCCGCCCTTCTCACCAACTCATGACAAAGGAGGAGCCAATCTCACACCCGCACTGTCACTTTCATAACAAGGCCACTCTCAACTGCACCTGCACAAAAAATTTTCAGCACGCAGGGTCCCGAAATCCATTGCCAGCAGCCTGAGAGCGATTGTGGGTTAATTAATGATGCAATTAACACTTCAAACTCCAAGCTGCCACCAGATGGTTTTTGGACTATCAACCCTTCACAATGTTAGCAAGAACAAATGTGAACAAACGTCTGTAACACACACTGTCACCACAGACAGGAATATTCAGAGGATTATTATATAGAGTAGCACTCTACAAGAGTACAACAAATATGACACCTGCCCCCCCAGTCTATAACTGGCTTATGGAGCAAGGACTTACGTGAAACCGGGCAAACGCAATGTCAATAAAAAAAGAAAAAAAAGGTTCAAAATCAACGTGCCAGCCAGCTTGCCAACAACCAAATTAACCTGTCTAACAGTATGCATTAAAAACAGGTTTAATTAGCACACATTTCTAAAATACAATATGTAAGCCACAATGCCACATCACCGCACCATGGTATTCTGTGGTCCCTAACCCACTCTACACTAACTCTACAAATTTTTGAGAGCCCCCATAGTAGAGGCACATGTATTTAAAGGATAGATCAAGGGCAGGTGCACATCAGGGAAGCCACCCCTGTTAAAGGTACAGGAGTGCAAAGGAACCGCAGCATGTAGTACAATGGTAGCCAGGGCGCCCAGTGCACCCACTCACCTTCAAATCAACAGAACAACCAAAGGCGGACTGACAACTCATGGGGCCCCCGGTGGCAATAGGGGATCATGGGGCCAGTGTCCTTGCCCAAACTCAAAAAAAAGCCTATGAAAAAGGTACCAGGGGGCATCTCATTGGGTCCCCTAAATGTCCCAGGGCCCTCAGGCAGTGCCCGAGTTTCCAAATGGTCAGTCCGCCCCTGAGTACAAACAAAATATCGGCACCATGCCCCAGTCTAAACTGGCTATGAAGCAAGGACTACGTGAACCGGGCAACGCATGTCAATATAAAAAAGAAAAAGAAAAAAAAAGGTTCAAAATCAACTTGCTAGCCAGCTTGCCAACCAACTTGTTGTACTGTTGATTTTTTTTTTTACTATTTAAATTATGGAATGAAATTATACTTTTATTCTATAAAAACACTGGTAACACAAGTCAAAATAAAGAAAAAGTAAGTTTTTTGTGCATTTGTGTAGTTTTTGCATGGTGTGATTAGAGTCCATAGGATTGCTTAAACATAAAAGAAAATTTTTTTAAAGAAATGGGAAAGATGATACTAAAAGAGGCAAAACCGACTGAGCACGCTGGCAAGAGCAATTTGGCGTCTCACGTTTTAGTACAGTAAATGAAAATTAAAGTTTTTCTTTTGCAAAGAATAACCAAGTCACAGTGAAAGAATAATAAAAAACAAACCAAAAATTTTGCTTACATTTACGCATATACTAAGCTCTGTAACAATCACAACTTAAGAAAAAGTGGCAAACAGTCCCTATTTGCTTTTGGTAAACAAGCCCCACGATCAAAAAAATAAAAGACTCATTTGTCCTTTAAAAAATATGTTTAATTAGCTCTGCTCGTTTATCAAAAGAAATCTTCCAATTTTATTGGTCTCCTACTGCACAGAAATAGTTTGAATATATAAGTTTGGTGGAGGATCACATCCAGGACTCCCACAGTTGGTAAAAGCTATACATTGAAGGACGTGTTCATCATCCTTATTAACCTAATGATTAGTTCCCACCTCCCGACAACCTGTTTATTTTTTTTTTCTAATAAATATTTATTGATTTGTCAATCCATATTACAAAGTCAATTCAAATAAAACTATTTAAAATATTTATCAAAAACATATTTCCTCCTTATAAAATTTAATCCTATATATGACTTTCTCTTCAAGACCATCCCCCCCTCCCAAAAAGACCTAACCGCCACCCACACCTTCACACTCTCCCCCACCCCTCGTCCCTTCCGCTCCTTCCCACACCCCCCCGAAACCCAACCCCCCCTACCCCAAAGCCTCCCATATTCTCTTCTTCTCCTCATTTACTCCCATATGAATAAAAACAAATATAAAAAAAGAAGAAAAAAAAAACAAAAGAACAAAAAATATAAAAAAAAAAGTAAAAAAAAAAGTAAAAAAAAAACAATTTTCCCTTTTTTATTTACATCTCCAAATTATCCCCGTGCATATAATAAACTTTCTGTCCCCAAAAAGGGTTTTCTCTACCCTCCAGTCTCCTAGCTCCCCAACTTTTTAAACCCCCCCCAAGCCCCAACTTCATTGTGAATTGAAGGGGCTGTAAAAAAGAGGAAACCCTTTGGGTTTTTCTGCGGATTCAAATCAATGGGACCCTTTGGGATTTAAAAGTTTTAGGGGTAAGGATGGACACAGAAGTAGGCCTGGCCGTAAAGGAAGTAAAGTGGCCTATACTGATGGAGTTTTCTTCATTCAACCTGCAGGTTTCCACATCCATACTCCAGTGCAGATGGCCCCCCAAATTTTAGGGGGGGCTATTGATGAGACAAAAAAATGAAATGGAATACCACACCACTTCAAAAGGTCCAGAATGCTTTATGCCATAAAGGGCAGGGATCAACCAAAAGTACCAACACATTTTGGGAACTAAAAAAAAACCCCTTTCACAGGGGTTGAGGCCAAACCCCTTTCTGACAAGGTCTGGCTTGTCTGTTCAGAAGAAAAACCCTAAAAATCCAGTTCACTTGATGACTGATTGCATTTTACCATAGTAACAGGCAAACATCTCATTAACAGACAAAAAAAACTGATGGGGAGCTTTAGGGGGGATTCACCTCTATTCTTGTCCGTTTGCCTTTTTAAAAAGAAGGGAAAAAAATCCCGAACATAAATAGAAGGGAAAAGGGTCCAATGGGATATAGTTCTGGTGACCTTTGGGGTTTCCCCCCTTTTGTTGTGGCTTTTGGAGCAGAAAGTAAAGGGGGAAAACTTTCCAATTTGGGCAGGGAGTCAAAAAAACCCATGGGGATAATCCCCGCTTACTCTATCCAAAAATTTGGGGTATTAAATTTTTGTATTTACAGTATTTATAAGCGCCAAAAGTTTTGCTAGCGCTTACATTCAAAGGGGGACAGAACATGGACAAAAACAATACCAAAAAAATGCAAAAAAAAAAAAAAAAAAAAAAAAAATAAAACGAAAAAAAAAAGAAAAAAGAAAAATAAGAATAAAAAAAAAAAAGAAAAAAGAAAAATAAAAAGTAAAAAGAAACAAAAAAATAACTATAACATAAAAAAAAAAAAAACAAAAAAAAAAAACGAAAAAAATAACTAATCAAATAAAAAAAAAAAGAAAAAAACAAAAAATATACAATAAAAACAAAAAAAAAAGAAAGAAAAAAAAAAAAAATAAATAGAAAAGAAAAAAAAAGAAAAAAAAAAAAAAGAAAAAAAAAAAAAAAAAACAGAAAAAAAAACTAAGAAAAAAAAAGATATTAGGTCAGTGATGTAGTTCGGGGCAGTATGGTGGACGGCTTTGTACGTCAGTGTTAGGATTTTGAATTTGATCCGTTTGCGCAATCGGAAGCCAGTGAGGGGAATGCAAGAGGGAAGGAGGACACTGAAGTAGGAGGGATTGGCAGAGGGGGGTGGCGGAAACGGAGCGGTTGTAAAGGT